GCTGACGCTTCGTCCCTTGTTGGGCTCGCCTTCGTCAGGCTGACTACTGGCCACGTGCACGCAAAGGTACGGAAGCATTGCTCCAACACGCGCTGACAGCTGCAGCGGAACAGAGCCAGGCCCCAGCACTCCCTGCCGCGGTTAACCTGGATTTCCAGTTCTGTGGATACCTGCTGCTCCTCCTCCTCCGCCCGCGAGAGCAGACGATGGCTGTTGCCCCTGCGGCACCCTCTTTCCCCGCCTCTGGCGGGTTTTTTGGCCTGCAGCGGGCTTTGCCTACGGAGGAGGGCCCTCCTCCTCTCGGGCCGAACGAAAAGGAGGGACAGCAAAAGGGGGGGGGGGGGGAAATCAGCTCACGCAGCTAATTTTCCCGGCGCCCACGTATCGAGGAATAGGCCCAGCGGCGGGGCCGAAACCAGCTGCATGCAGCAGATTTCGTGACCGCCCCTTTCCCTATCCCACCCCCTTTCGTTCGGCCCGATCCTCCGGGAGGCCCTCCAGATGGCCCGAACCTGCCTGAGATGCCAGGTCGGTTCCGTAATTGGGCGGCCTTTAGGTGAGTAGGCCTATCATTATGATCGTGCTGTCCGTAGCCCTTGCGGCTCAAAGGAGAGATGGCAGGTGCAACTCCTCAGTGCCAGCTCCGTAGGCTGGCCATCTGTACCCAGAATCCCGCCAGCCCTCTGGGCGCAGGTGGTGTAGAGCGGTTCCTCTTCCAACCCCCATTCTTCCCCTTCGCGGAGGGTTTACCCCTTCCGCGTACCTCCTCCCCTGGACTTGGACGGGGGGTCCGCGAGGGGTTGGAGCGTCCAAGATGGCCCAAGACGGCTCCCAGACCGCCTCAGAGAGCCCAAGATGACCTCCAAGATGGCTCAAGATAGCCCAAAATGCCTCAAGATGGCTCCCAAGATGTTCCAGGAGGCCAAGAACACTCCAAGACGACTCCAGGTGACCACGGAGCCTCCCCAGGAGGCCGCCAATAGGCCGAAATCCGTCCAAAACCGATGGAAAAGGTAATGTTTCTGGTTTCTCGCCTTTTCGCTTCCGATGGCCTTCTGAAGCCTCAGGATGGCTCCAAGATGGCCCGAGAGGGCCCAAAGAGGGGCCCGAGAGGCCTCCAAGACGGCCCCAAGAGCGCTCCAAGAGACATGTGTTGGGCTCCCGAGGGGGGACTGTAATTGAAGTTCCCCACTTTTTTGATCAATGTTTTTGCAGGATGGCTTCAAGAGCGCCCCCTAAAGCCCCCAAGAGCGCCCAAAGAGGGCCTCAAGAGGCGGCCAAAACCTCCAAGGAAGCATCAAGACGGCCTCCAGATGGTCCATGATAGCTGAGAATGGCTCAGGATAGCCTCCGACAGCCTCTAGCCGAGCATGGCTCAAGATAGCCTCCAAGAGGCCTCCAGAGAACCTCCGATCGTGCCTGGACTGCCTGGTTGGAACACTTTTTGGTCGGCGGCTCCAAGGCGACGGTCAGGGAGCGAAAGCGGCGCCCGGGCTGCAGAACGAGGCGAATTTGCGAACAAGCCGCCAGTGTCGGCGGGCACGTTCGCACCTGCAAGACGAGCTCGCAGTTGCACATGCACAGAACAAAATGAATTAAATTCACTAGCAAACGCACATTGGCGCAGCAGCGTGACCGAAGTAGACGAGCTGCCGAGAAAATGCGCGTGAGCAACGGAGTGAATCGCCAGGGCGGCGCCAAACTCCAGGCCGACCTGCACAAGCCGAGCGGCTGCGCGGTGTAATCGAGACAGTGCGCGGGGGAAGACCAAAGGCTGCACAGGCGCTGCAGGCTGAACCACTCAGCGTCCGGGCCTCAGAAATCACCTGGTGGGGACACTTTTTTGGCCTGCGGCTCCGAGGCAGCGGACAGGGAGCGGAAGGCGTCGTCTGGGCCAGCAGGCGAGGCTAAGTAGCTACAACAGGCCACGCACCTGCAGTAATAGTACGCAAAGTATGCGAGGTGTGCACATGCACTGAGCAAAATGCTCCGCATTAAGGCGAACGCCCCTAGGCGCCAGCCACACCGAGGTGAAGCAGACCGCAGTGCTATGCAACGGAAAAGTCGCCCTGACGGCGTCCGCGCAGCCAACCTAGCCGAAGCGGACAAGTAGAACCAAAGCGACACGCTGAAGGCTGAACCACTCAGCGCGAGGTACCACCGCCGTACGCGGGGTCGGTGAGACAGGGGCAAAGGAAAGGCAGGGACCTACAGAGCTCTCACTCCACGATCCACACCGCTGCCCGTGGTGGGGCCGGTGCGTCAGCCATCGTTTCCGAAACCAGACACAGGCCAGGAAGCAACGATGAAGGAGGACACGCAGGCCCACGCGCCAGTACTGCCGCCAAGCGGGTATCGGCCGAAGGTCGCCGAGGTACGCTGCAGCCGCGGCCAGCTCATAGGCGCTGGGGTGTAGTCAGGGATGAATCTGACCATAGAGAGAGCCGGTGGACGGCAAGTACCAACAGAGCACTCACTCCGCGGACCGCACCGCTGCCTGGGGGGGGGCCGGTGTGTCGTCATCGTATCCGAAACTAGTGACTGGTCGGGGCAGCAACGATGAGAGAGGGCACGCTGGCCCAAGGGCCGGTATACTGCAACCTCGCAGGTACCGGTCACGATAATCGCCGAGATTCGCAGCTGCCGCGACCACCTCATGGAGCGCTGGAACGCAGCTAGAGCTGGATCTGACCACGGGTGGGGACACGCGAAGCGTCAAGAATTTGCACTGCATTATGGTAATAGCGATTCCTGACAGCCCACCTCGTTGACTTTGCTTCCGGGAAGCCCTCCAGATGGCCCCGAGGTGGCCTACGCGGCGCTCGAGAGGGCCCCAAGTGGAGGAGGGGGGGGAAAGAGAGGGAAACTCGCGGAAGCTGCTGGTCGCCCCCATGGCACACAATTGCGCCCAGTAGCGCGCAGAGCGGACGCAGTGCATCTCCCTCACGTGGGCGCCATCGGGCTCCATTTGGACGCTACTTGGCGCTACTGGGCGGCACCTTTGGGCGCTATTGAACGCCAGTGTGAGCTAATTGGGCGCGGTGCGCGCGCTGGGGGAGGTCAGCATCTACGTATCCCACCAGAGAGGCCAGCGAGGGCGTAAGCCCGCCTGAAAAGTGGTCGACGATCACGGCGGGCGGGGCGACAGCAGACGCCGCGGAGGAGGCGTCTCAAGTCATCGGAACGCGCAGGTGGGAAGAATGATGGGATGGACGTTCGAGGATCGCGCTTGGGTTTTTCGTGCTTTTGGGGTTCCTGGGGTGGCTCCTCGTCGCCACTGTTGGGTCTGCTTTGGAATTCTGGCAAGAGCGCGCCCCAGAACGTGTCCCAGGATTGACCTTTGATCCCCAGACCCAGACATGCTCGCGTCGTGAAAAATCACGACGGGTGGTGGTCGCGGCAGGGGGTCGGGAACCCTGGTGGGAGGGATGATGGGAGGGAGGAGGGGGAGGAGGCAGGAGCGAGGACACATTCGAAACCCTTCGAAGTTGCCGTAGGTTCCTGGAGATTTTCTAGCCTCGGGATGCTTTCCAGCACCTGCGCCTCGTCGAGAGCTCTCTGCGGGTACCCAGATCGTCCTGAACGGCCGGCGAGTGACCCGAAAACCACCAGGCGCGGAGGGGACGCTGGGGAGGCGGGATGACGGGAGGGAGGAAGAGGACCCGAACATGTTCGCGTCGTGAATAGACTCACGCCAGGGGGGGATGTTGCTAGTGTTCGGCCTCGACGGACCCTCGCCGGGGCGCCCGGGACCGTCAAAAACGACTCGGGAAGGAAAACGGCCTAGGGGAAATGAACCCGGCGCGACCCCAATTAGTTAGGGAAAAGCTTCCTATTGCATGGGCGCAGTGCTTGGCATTGCTTGCCATTGCTTGCCAGTGCTTGGCATTACGTGGCGATGCTTGCCATTGCTTGGCACTGCTTGGCATTGAATGGCATTGCATGGTATTACTTGCCATTGCGTGGCATTGCTTGGCACTGCGTGGCATTGCTTGGCATTGCGTGGCATTGCGTGGCACTGCGTGGCATTGCTTGAACATTGCTTGGCATTGCTTGGAATCGCTTGGTATTGCTTGGAACGGGCACAATAAGATCACGAAGCGCAGGAAACCAGGGGAACCCGAGGAACCCGGGGAACCCAGGGAACCAGCCGAGAAACCCGAGGAACCCGAGGAACCCCAGGATCCCGAGGAACCCCGGGAACCCCAGGAACCCGAGGATCCCGAGGAACCCCAGAAACCCGAGGAACCCGAGGAACGACTAGGGACCCGGGGGAACCCTTGGAACCCGGGGAACCTCTGAAGAACGGGCAAAGGAGCACCCCGAGGCACCAATATTTAACAAAATGAGAACCCCTTAGGCAAGCCTAATTGGGGAACGGCCGGCTTCGGGTGATCCCGTTGTGAGAAGATCGAGCCACCGCAAGTTTGGGGATTGGGGAGAAGGAAGATGAGATCCTGCAGGACGAGGGGGTCCTGCAAGGGGAGGGCGGGAGGGGGGGGGGGGAGGGGGAAGGCGGGAGGGAGGGAGGGAGGGGATCCTGCGGGGAGATCCGCGGGGTCCTGCCAGGAGGGGGAGGGAAGGCGAAGAGGAGGGCGGAGGGGATCCTGCAAGGAGAGGCCGAGAGGCCAGGGAGGGGCTGCGAGGAAGAGCGGGGAGGGGAGGCGGAGCAAGGAAAAAAATAAGGGCACTCGAGGAGAGGAGGGCGCCTGGAAGCTGCCGGGAGGAGGTCGCGGCCCTCACACAAATTTCAGCCCTGGAGGTCCGAGGACGGCCCCTTCTCCTCGTCGTCCTCCTCCCTCTCGTCCCCTCCTCCCTCTTCCCCTGCATGTCGAGGGGGGGAGAGGGAGTCGGGGAATGGGAAGGCGGGCAGCACAAGAGGAATGGGAAGGGAGAGCGCCCCCAGGAGGACCCCGGAACCCTGGAAGGGTCTTGCCACGGGCCCCAAAGCCGCAAGAGCACCCCAAGTCGGTCCAAAGAAAGCAATTAGGGACAACTTTTCTGGCTCGATCACGCAACGGCAATTGAGGATACACCGTGTCTTCCGATAGTTTCCAGGATGGCCCCAAGAGGAATCCAAGAAGACTCGAAGAGACTTCCAGGGCCCCCACCTTACACATTGTCTGGGGCTGCCTGGGCTGAGCACAGCGTCAGTTTGACTGGGCGGCACAGATGATTTCGGAGCGAGCGCCCAACCGCGTACCTTCCAAGATCTGCCCTGGAAGACATCCTGACAACCGTAATGGCGGCTCAGGCTGGCAAGGCGAGCCCGAAAGCACTCGCGACCGTCTCCTCGGCAGGCAAGTCGCTCAATAACCGGCCATCTGGCAAGACAGCATCCACCCGTGCGACTCTGGAGCCGAATCTGCCCGCGCGAAGATCGCCCATCAGCTGGTCATTCAAAGCTGCGAGGCGGGAGGTGGGCACGGCGAGAACTCGGCAGCGCTCCACACCGCGAAGAGTCACGAACCGTATCGATTCGCCGTCGAAGGACGCCTGAAGGAGTAACGCTGGCATCAAGTGAGCTCCGTAGGTCTGGCCTGCGACGAGCTCCGGGATGTCGCACTGGCCGTCGCTATTGCGGCCGCAGACCACAGCCCTCCCCTCGCTCGTCAACAGGACAGTGTGGACGTCTCCTGGGGCGACCTGCGTGTAGGTCTGGCCTGCGATGAGCTCTGGGATGTCGCACTGGCCTTCGTCATTGCGGCCGCAGGCCACGGCCGTGCCCTCGCTCGTCAGCAGGACGGTGTGGGCGTCTCCGGCGGCGACCTGCGTGTAGGTCTGGCCTGCGACGAGCTCCGGGATGTCGCACTGGCCTTCGTCACTGCGGCCGCAGACCACGGCCGTCCCCTCGCTCGTCAGCAGGACGGTGTGGACGTCTCCTGCATCGACCTGGATGTAGGTGTGGCCTGCGACGAGCTCTGGGATGACGCACTGGCCTTCGAAATTGCGGCCGCAAGCCACGGCCGTGCCCTCGCTCGTCAACAGGACGGTGTGGGCACCTCCTGCGGCGACCTGCGTGTAGGTCTGGCCTGCGATGAGCTCTGGGATGTCGCACTGGCCTAAACCATTGCGGCCGCAAGCCGCGGCCGTGCCCTCGCTCGTCAGCAGGACGGTGTGGGCGTCTCCTGCGGCGACCTGCGTGTAAGTCTGGCCTGCGACGAGAGCTGGGATGTCGCACTGGCCGCCACTATTGAGGCCGCAGGCCGCGGCCGTGCCCTCACTCGTCAACAGGACGGTGTGGGCACCTCCTGCGGCCACCTGCGTGTAGATCTGGCCTGCGGCGAGAGCTGGGATGTCGCACTGGCCAGCAGCATTGCGGCCGCAGGTCGCGGCCGTGCCCTCGCTCGTCAGCAACACGGTGTGGGCGGACATCCGCGAGCTCTGGCCTGGCGCGCGGGGTGCGCCAGCGGCGGGCTCGGCGGAGGGCCCGGGAGCCCGAGCCACGGACCAGCTGCAGCCGCCAGCCCCCCGCGAGGCCGCCGCCTCCCCCTGCGAGGCGGGCGGGGCGCGCGCGCGCGCTGCTCGGGGCCCCCGGAGGACCCCGCTCTGCGGCGATTCGGCGACAGATTGCGCACAGACGGCCCCCCATGTACTCCGAGATCCTGGCGTTTTTGTCGGGGGGAGGGCGGGCATTTTCGCCCAGGCCCCGGGGCCATCACGAATCGATCGGGCCTGCAAAACAGCACAGAAGAATGGGGTCTCGGGCTCCGGTAGTGATTTTTGGCGATGTCTCATTTTTTCACGCCGTCTGATCTCAGGATAGCCCCAGCTGGCGTCAACAGGCCCGGAGCAGTGGCAACATCCCGACCCTGGGGCGCGGAGCGCCAGACACCGCCGGAGGTGGCGACAGGGTGTTGACACCGCCTGAGTTGACTCGGCTGGGGGGTGGGGCTGTTCAGGCCAGCTGGGACTACCTGGGGGGGCTGTCTGCGCGCATCCCGAACAGGGGGTAGGAGGAGCAGGGTGGAGGTTGGAGCTTGGAGGGCACTGCCTCCTGCACCCTCCCCGCCTCCCCCCTTACTCCCACCCACCTCCTCCGCCCCCAACCTCGTGCCTCCCCTTACTCTTCCGCACCCCGCCTCCTACTTCCTCCTCCTCCTCCTCCTCCGCCTCATCCGCCTCCGCCTCCCCCCCCCGCCTCCGACTTCCTCCTCATCCTCCCACCACCTCCTCACCGTCCTTCTCCTCCTCACAACCCCAATGGCGATGGCTGGCACCGCGACTGACGGCAATGAGAGGTGGGCAGCAGAGGCTGGGCGAGCCTGGAAGCCCGAGGTGTTCGGGTACAGGGTCCCGTCGAGGTCGAAGAAGATCGTGTCCACGTCGGCCTGCTGTCCCGCAGACTCAAGGACGCAGGAGGAACAAGCACCGAATAGGGGGATCTGATCGAATCGGAGTGTGCGTCGGATCGCACTGCATCGGCATGGAGTCGGAGTCGGATGGGATCGGCCGCGCCAGGATGCACAGCAGCGCCATGCAAAGCATCGGGCCGCATCGGATCGTCGTGAAATACCTGAATCGAACCGGATCGGGCTGGCCAGGATCGATATCGTTTCGGGCCGATCGGATCGAATGAGTGGCCATCCACAGGACAAGGCACATGACTATGTACACAACCAAGAAAGAGGGACGAGGCCGCCCGGCCCGCCTCCTTGGAGGGAGGCGGCTGGAGAGGGCCAGTCTGCGCCTGCGCGCCAGGCCATTCCAGAGGCCGCGGGGGAGCGCGTGGGCCGAGCACCTGGCGGGGCCGAGGACGGGGGCGCGCAAGCAAGACCGCGCCGCCTGGCACGCTGCGGCGTCCTATAGTGCCGAGTGCCGACTGGCGGGGAGGGGGTTCTGCAGTTCTCTTCGGCGGCGCGGTCAAGGGGGTGGCGCGGGGGGGGGGGTAGCCCTCTGAGAGGGCGGGGTGTGTCTTAGAGGGCGGGGGGGCCTCCCCGCGAGGCCCTGGAGGCTTCTAGGCAGCGCCGCCAAGTTCTAAGCCGGGCCCCCGCCAGATCCTCGGAACAAGAGCACCTGCACAAAGGGCAGCTGCGCTCGCGCACCACGCTGCGCGAAGCGCGAAGCGCGAAGCGCGAAGCGCGAAGCGCGAACCACTTCGTGCTCGCGCCGCCCCCCAGGGGCACACCCAGGCGCATCGGCACCACAGGCGGCGCCCTCCTCGAGGTGGACGGAGAGGAGGAGGAGGAGGAGGAGGAGGAGGAGGAGAGGAGGAGGAGGAGGAGGAGGAGAGGAGGAGGAGAGGAGGAGAGGAGAGGAGGAGGGAGGAGGGAGGAGGGAGGAGGGGGAGGAGAGGGAGGGAGGGAGGGGGAGAAGGAGAGAAGGGAGAAGTGGTGGGACGCAGATATGAGCAAAACGCTGCATCCTTGTCTGGATGGTGAGAGGCCTAAGCCTCCTGGGCTGCACAGGAGGGAAGGCCAGCGGGGCGAGCCTCGAAGTGTGCCCTGAAGGAGAGGGGGGTGCCCCTCCATGGCGCTCCTCCTCCTCCTCCTCCTCCTCCTCCTCCTCCTCCTCCTCCTCCTCCTCCTCCTCCTCCTCCTCCCCGAACTCCTCCTCCTCCTCCTCCTCCTCCTCCAGTCCCCCTGCGTTGATCTGCCGTTCGCATTGCTGGGACGGGGTCGTCGATTACTTCTCGTGCCTCGCAGTGCTGGTCGAGCCCATAGATGGCTAGAGCAATATTGTGTACAATTGGCTTCGCATCTGGTCTCGACTCATCAGCATCATCATCACCATCAGCATCAGCATCAGCATCAGCATCATCATCATCATCATCATCATCATCATCATCAGCATCATCATCATCATCATCATCAGCATCATCATCATCATCACCACCACCACCACCATCATCATCATCATCATCAACATCAGCAGCAGCATCATCATCATCAGCATCATCATCATCATCACCAGCATCACCATCACCAAAACAACCATCATCATCATCACCAGCAGCAGCAGTAGCATCAGCATCATCATTCTCATCAACAACAGCATCATCGTCATCATCATCATATTCAACAGCATCATCATCAACATCATCATCCATCATCATCAGCATCAGCATGAGCATCAGCAGTATCAGCATCACCGTGACCATCATCGTCAGCATCATCACCACCATCACCACCACAATCTTGATCATCGTCTGCACCATCTCCAGCAGCAGCATCTGCACCAGCATCTACACCACCATCATCACCATCATCCTCATCATCCTCTGTATTACCATCCTAACCGCCACCACCACCATCATCATCATCAGCAGCATCAGCATCGTCATCAGCACCAGCATCAGCATCATCATCATCGTCATCGTCATCAGCACCATCATCATCATCATCATCATCATCATCATCATCATCATCGTCATCATCATCACCATCATCATCATCATCAGCATCATCATCCCCCTCATCACCCCCGTCATCACCCTTAACATGAACATTGTCGCCATCGCCACCGTCATGATCAACAGAATCGCCATCGGCATCGTCATCATCATCGTCGTCATCACAGACACCGTAGTCGTAACCAGCAATGGCAGCAGCCTCATCATTTCCATATATCGACATCGTACTCAACGTCAGCCTATGCTTCTCCATCCCCAACATCATTATCATCCCCCTGTTCCTCTTCCCCTGAGGGGCAGCGGTAGGGAGGACCAGCTCAGGGGGGAAACATTGAGCTGGAATCGGCGATACACGATACATCGCCGATAAATCGGCAACAGGGCCCCGATGGCGAATCCGCGCGCTCCTGGCAAGGGGTCCTCTTCCTCTTCCTCCTCCCCCTCCATCCGTCTTCATAATAAATCTTTCCTCCGTGTCGCACCCCGAAGCCGGTCGAAAGGGCGGGCCAGGCGTTTCGCCTGAGACTTCCTCACTACTTGCGGTCCTGAAGCCTGGAATCTGCTACGCTTTCACGGATGGAGGGCTTGTGGTTTTCAACGTGTGGTTCCCGCTCTAACGCCGCGCACCTTCGTCTTAGAAGTTTGGGAGAGCTTCACGGATGGAGGGCGGGGAATTTTCCAAACATGGCTCTCGCCCCAGCGCCGCACACCTTCGTCTGAAAAGTTTGCGAGAGCTTCGCGGATGGAGGGCGGGTCGTTTTCAAAACATGGCTCTCGCCCTAGCGCCGCACACTTTCGTCTGAAAAGCTTGCAAGAATTTCACGGATGGAGAGCTGTCTGTTTTCAAAATGTAATTCACGCCCTAGCGCCGCACACATTCGTATGAAAAGTTCGCAGTGGCTTCACGGATGGCAGGCGGCTGCTTTTCAAAATCCGGCTCTCGCCTGAGCGCCGCGCACATTCGTCTTCAGAGCTTACATCTGCTTCGAAGGATTATCAGTGTGAACGTCTCACAAATAGCACTTTCGCAGGATGTCAGAATGACAGGGCGCAACAGTCACGCTGACTCACGGTGTAGAAGCCCAGGGACTGGCGTCTTGGCACAATTCAGGGTCGTCACGACGCAACAATAACGGTGATTCGCCGCGTTAAATTCCCAGGAATGCTGTTCTGGCACAGTTCCGGAATGTCAAACGGTTGTCTTCCAACGGGGTACTTTCCTGTTTTCCTCAGCGAAAAAGATCCGCTGTATGGTGCTCATGAAGAGGGAACTTGGAGGGAGAGTGTATTGCAAGAACGTTGGTGAGTCTTGGGTTTACACTGGTCCTCCTCCCCCTCCTCCTCCTAGCGTTGCCCCTCCTCCTAATGTTCCCTCTCCTCCGAACGCAACCTCCCCCTATATGACGTTGCCCCCCCCCCTTCCTGCGAGGGTCAACATAAAGTCTGCACATCACAACACTCTACATGCCGAACACACACACACATATACATACGCACACACACACACTGTGCTACAGCAGCAACGAGACGATGGTGTGCCTCCTCGAGACTCTAGACTAAGGGCGGTTTTGCTGCTACTGCTGCTGGCGCCTTCGGGTGTGGCTCCTCCCCCTGAATGCCTACATGCCTGATGGCGAGACTGTCATCCTGACGTTGCCATTCCCTCCAAGGCAGGGCCCTGGGCGGTTGATCAAACTAGGAGCTTGGCGACTCCTGTAGCTTTCGCTCCAGGAGCCGACATCTGGTAGGAATTGAAGTTGGGCAGCGACAAAAATGGCAGACAAGGGAGGGAGGAGAGAGAGAGAGAGAGATCAACCAGAAAGGAGGCACCTAACAACCTCAATGAGATGAGAAAGAGTAGGACGCCTGGCGGTTGGCAGCAGTCCTGCGCCTCCCCCTCCTCCTCC